ATGTAGAAGCTAAAATATAATTTATTGGCGCTGTGTACCCGCGATTTTCAAGCGGCCTAAAGATAAATGTATGATATACATACATATATATAAAATAACTGTTTCATTAATGGCCACCTTTGATACCTCAATATGCCATTTTATGTGCAAACTATTGTAAATAAAAAGTTATGCTTTTTTTTAAATATCGATGCATAAAAAAGAACTTAAATAAGTGTGTTTATGATTGCATAAGTTACTCGTAAACATATTTATTCATATTTAGGGGTGAGTACAAAATATATTGATTGCGTTTATTTACGTGGCATTAAAAAATCGAATCGCGCCATTAAGTCGGTGTGTAAATGGGTGTGTTAAAGCAGAAGAAAAGATAAAAAGTTTATGAGGAAAAAATGTCTTTTGTTCAGTGCAGAGTGTTTATATAATTTAGGTGAGAAATTTATTCTCATTTTCATAAACAAATGTATTATTTTTTTGAAAAGCTTACAATTGTGATTTTTCGTCAAATTGTTTTACTTATGTGTTTTATTTGTATAAATTTGTGAGTATATTTTATGGGAAAGTAATAAATTTAACCACACTTATGCCGCAATTTGTTCAATTTGGATTCAATTCAGTGCACATTTTTACTTTTACACGTATGTATATATTTACAATAATGAATAATAGCTCTTTTTATACGCATTTTTATTCACATATTTCTCGCTTCAATTAAAATTATAATATATATGTGGAAGCTATTAAAATATTAATTATTTAAAAACTTAAATTGAAAAAAATTATTTCATTCGCTCTTTTAGTAAATTTATTACAGAAATGAATTTGAAAATGCTTCTTTTTTTTTTTTTTTGAGGTTACGTTTTTAGATTTACTGCTGAGCTGCTCCTCTAATGTGTTGTATGCGGCTTGATGTTTTTTTAACAAAAGGAGAGACCCACAGTTTACATTAAGACGCCTCCAAGCGGCTGATAAATGTATATGAGGAGCTTTTATTTTATGCCAGAGGGCTTTGCATTCCTCGCAGACGGGCGCCTGCATTAAAAAAAGACATCATCTTTAACTAAAATATTTTTCTACAAATTTTTTAATGGTCTTACCAAGACTCAAACCTTGGCCTTCCAAATGGCAGTACTCACTGCTAAACGCTCGACTGTTGTGTCCATAAGTCGCTTCGGCGTTTACTTATATATTAGGTCTAGCAAAAAGGAATCTACTATGTTCGTATTAAATTGAAGGCCTTTTAGTCAGATTTATCCGATTTATGTCAAGTATGCATCTCTTTGCTCGATAACTTTCTGCAAAAAATTGCCAAATCATACGCCATTGACAGGAGCAAATGGTGATCGATTGGTGCGAGGTGCGTACTATAAGGCGGACGCTTAAAAATATCCCAACCAAGCTCTTGGAGCTTCTGGCGAGTCAGTAGCGAGGTGTGTGGTCTGGTGTTGCTCTTCTTAAACACAATTCCCCTCCTGAGGGCCTAAGAATATAGCTTCTGGGCGATTGCTTCCTTCATACGGTCCAATGTCTGACGGTACAGGTCAGCAGCTCATAATAGATTATTTCTTGCCAATCACATTAAACATTAAACAATAAAATTTGGTCGTCAATCCTTGCTTACATAGCATTTGTGTCACTGTAATTGATCCATTTCTCATAACCGGTCACCATGCGCATCATGAATGGAAGTTCTCAAATATCGCCAATAATATAAGAGTAAATCATACTCTAGTTCCAATCGCAGAACTTTATTTAGATAAGCTATTGGCTCTGCTTGTTTTGTTATCCTATAAGCGAGCAATTGCTGATTTTTAATACTTTTATTGTTTCATAATCAATTGGAAGTTCAGGTTCATCATCTTCGGGTGTCTCATATTCCCTGCAATTTTTCAGACTGCAGAAATAACTTCAGTATGCTCTCCACATTGGTGAACAGATCGGAACGTTCGCTGTTGACCGACTCTTCAGTTTCCTCGTTATCGGGCATTCATATGTGGAACATAAATTTGTGAAACGTAAATATATGGAACAAAAATATGTGGAACATAAATGTGCTGAACATAAATATTTGGAACATAAATATGTGGAACATAAATGTGTGGAGCATAAATATGTGGAACATAAACATTTGAATCATAAATATGTGGAACATAAAAATGTGAAGCATAAATATGTGGACCTTAGCTTTTTTCTAGATTAATGTGTGGAGAAACTTTCATACCTGAACCGATCTATCTGAAAAACCCATATTTATGATTCAATTAACTCGAATCGAAATCTGGATCTCAGAAATCTCGTTGCTTAGGGCTAATATGTAAAACAATTTATTTCCTGTTCTTACTTTTTAGCATAATAGTTTATAGGTTATAATGAAATAAACAACAAGATAATAAAAATATAATTTGGACGAAGTGGCGGGCAATAAACTTAATATATACAGAAATAAAAAATAGTTATCCGAAGTCAACTGTAATGCCAACGTTTTCAGCATTGAAAGTCATCAATTCAGAAGATTTCAAAATTATTATATTCCAGTAGCCACGAAAGCAATGTGTTGACCTTTGCACACAAGAAAACGGAATAAAAATAACCACAAATAAATAAATATTTACAAATTTCTATTAATTTTGTTATCGAAATATAATCGAACGTGTAATTCATCATTTTGCTATAGAAAAAATTTAGATTTCACAACTTTCTATACTTTTGGCCTCTTTATTGATGTACAAAATGAATGATTGATATGAAAATTGATCCTTTGAGGCAATAAGGTAATGGAGAATACAAAAATCAGTAAAAGCCTAGATGACAAAGTAGTGGATTTGATTATACAGAAATAGAAGAAATAAAATAAATCAATAGAAAAAAGAAATTCCTTAGTTATTAAGAGAATAGCTCAGTTATAGCGAAAGCTTACCAAAGTAGTTGCTATAGTAACAGTATTAAATGTTAGCGGACAATGGTATAGTTTATGAATAATAGTGATGCCATGGACAGAATTGAGTAGACAATAAAACAGGCGGCACCATGAAACAATTACAACAATAATTGTAATGGCAATATTAAATTGCTGTTCGGTTCAGTGATTTGTGGAGGTAAGAAGATTATTCAAAATACATCAATATAAACAACAATCAATGGCTTCACATACACACCAGTCTCATGTTACGAATGGGTAGCCTTAAGCGTGATGCCTTCAGTGTAGAGGGAGACAACTATATATATGCAAGATACGGAGAAGCGTTTTCATGTTCGCGAAATGGAGATACATTTTTAATAAAAAAAAATGTTTTGTATTTAAACTCAAAATATGACTTTATTCTAGGTGATACATTTCTTTACAACTCAGCTCTTTTTTAATTTTTGGATACAAGTAAAAATCATTCGAAGCCATGTCTGGGCTACATTAAAGCCCACCACTCGCTTTTATCTTTATAATTACAATTGATCAATAATATTTCCTTCGAGTCTCAAAAGACCGTTACCATGAGCTTCACAGCTGATTATGACATCTTAAACTTTTTGGGATATTCTTTTTTAAATCTACCTCATGGTGTATTTTTTCGACTCAATTTAAAAACGGTGAACCCAAGTTTTGTCTTCAGCAACCATTCGACTCAATACAGCCCTACTTTGCACTGGTCTTAGTCATGCTAACATGATCATATAGGATTTTAAAAATGGTTGTGTTCCATATTCCAACCATTTCTACCAGTTGTTTCGTTTTTAGTCGGGCATCGTCGAGAACAATTTTTTTAACTTTTTGTCTAATTTGATTCATCTCGTGATCTCGGATCGTCTTCAAGTGATTCACTTCCTGGTTTAAATAAATTAAGTCACTTGTACAACATCATCATCGCAATTGATTTTCCTTGCGTGGTAAGGAACTTCATAACGTCACGATATTCGATTTTTCCATATTTCACTATTCGCTACCGATTATATTGCTTGGATGATGATAGTTTAAAGACTAATCACCGCCACACACCACACTCTCATTTCGCGAACATATGAACGCTACCTGTTATAATTGAGGGAAATTCATTACAGGCTTTGGTTTGTGAAAAAATAGGCGCTTCCCACTTCCACCAAGCCCTGTAAGTCTCAATGCTATTTACCTTCCAACATTCTCTCCCTCTGAGAAATCCCTTTCAGCACACCCTATACATGTACTATATGAGTATGCTCCAGTTTTGAAACCTTTTGCAAGCCCCCTAATTTTTTATATAATTTTTGAGCATTACCCCTGTCATCCAGCTTTGCATTTTCATCTTTTTACAATTGCATCTCTCCCACACACCGCGTCTTCTGAACGTTGAAAACGTCGCCAGATAGCCATCCAAGTCTTTCTTATTTCATAATTTAAAATTAATGTTGAAATATTTTTTTTTTAATTCTATAACACCGAAATCTGTCAAACTATTGTATATCGTTTACCAGAATTTCACACACCAATATTTGTTTACAAAGCAAACCCGCCGCCCAGAACGCCTTTATGCAGAGTCTTCTGCTACTGTTGCACACTTAATTAGTAGCGTATTTAATATTAATTTGAGTAGCATTGATGCTGTATTGTGCTTGGCAAATTTTGTTGATCTCTACGCATGCCCTACAACAACATCAATTGAAGTACTTGTTTCTGTTGTTTATGCTTGCTCATTATCATTGATTACTATGGTAACTAGTTTGGCGGTGGAAGAGGTGGAGGAGTACCGTTTCACTCTTAGATTTGTTATCAATTTGTTTTCATTGTTTTTGCTTAGAGAATAATTTTATTTTAATTCAATTAAGCGCATTAAAGGGTAATGAAATTTAATTGGTTGAAGGCAGAAAGAAAATTATTGTGAAATTTCACTTTGTAATACTCACGCATAGAAATGTGGAGTATGATAAAAGCTCACTTATTTTATTGTGTTTTCAATTGCATACTTAAAATTTAACAGGAAAAATAGTTAATTACGCTTTTAGTAAACAAATATTTCTTCTCGTTCTTTTTCCAGATTCACCCTCGAAATTGCGCGAAGAGAACGAACGACTTAGCGCTGAAATTCATCGCCTTCGAAAGCTCTTGGAAAACTCACCCGAGGGCGCTGTTGGCGGCGTCGATTTGTCTGACTCGAATAGTGGCGGCGATGCACATTCCACTGACGGCAGCGGCAGCATACCCCAGCAACGTGTTGATCGGCTCGAAGCCGAGCTGCGTTCGGCAAAAAACCAAATTTTGACATTACGCATCGAACGTAAGAAGCTGCGCGCCGATAAAAGTGAACTACTGGCGCAAGTGAAGCAACTCTGTGCCTCGTTGCAAGACAAAGAGCAAGAGTTGCGTGATTTCATTCGTAATTTTCAAGATCGCGTGCGCGAGACTGAAACGAATAATGCCAAACTGACTGGAGATCGTGAACGTGAGCGTTGGCAGCTGTTGAAGCAGGCGCGCGATGAAGCCGAACGCTCGTTGTCGTTGGCGCAACAGCTAAATGCGCGCGATTTGCAATTACAGCGTTTGCAAGATCAATTACAAGAGGCGCGTCGTCAGCTCTCCGGCTGCCTCTCGGATCAAGAGAGTTTGTTATCATTTGCGCCGCTAACACCACCTTCAGCCACTTCGGCTATGCTAAACCAGATGACAGCGCCAGTGAGCGCGAACAGTGGCTTGCGCAACGATGATAGCGGCCGTGGCAATTCGAATTCATTATCGGCATTCAGCAGTAGCTTGAGCGGAGGCTCTGGCGCCACGGCCGGTGACCGTAATTCCTGCTCGAATGATTCGGTATTGCGGAATAGCAGTGATCGGGAAAGCACTGGCGGGGATTTGAATTTCAGTGATGGCACTTGCGAAAATGGGCCGTGCATAACAGTGGATCCGGATAGTATTTCGCTGGTCTCTAGTCAAAATATGTATCAATGTAAGTGCGAAGTCGCTTAGAGGGGAAAACTTTTCCACTGTTAAATAAATGCTTTTACTTTCAGATGGCACACCAAAAGAACGTAGTCCAACTCTATCACCCTTGAATTCAGCCGCGTACTCCAGGTACATTTGTTATAGTATAGCCTTTTGAGCTTATTTTTATATTATATTGATTTTCGATTTCGTTCTAATTTTCTTCAACATCAGATCGGTGGAGCAGCTCGGCTCACCCGTAGAGTCTGATGGCCCTGGCGCAGTTGCGCGTAAATTTGCACCAAAAACCGGCACATTGAGTGCACGTAATGGACGCGGCGGTACTTGGGGAAGTATTTCACGTGTCTTCGCACGTTCACGTAACAAAAATAAAGCTTTGTCAGCCGATAGCGCTGCGGAACGTAAGTCAAAAACGTGTCATAATCATACGCACATTTCTACTAACCCTCTAACGGCAATTCATCTAACATATTTTTACACCTCTTAGTAACACCCTATCTTGCAGACGCCGACTACTCGTGGAGTCCACTCTCCGAAGAGGGTTATGCTGAAAAATTGCGTTTACTACGCGACGCTTCCCAACTGCCAATGGACAGATGGCGTGCCTCACAAGTGCTCGCCTGGCTGGAGGTGGCGCTCGGTATGCCACAATATAGCACGCGTTGTGCGGAGAATGTGAAAAGTGGCAAGGTGTTGCTTGAATTGAATGATGGTGAATTAGAAGCCGGCTTGGGCTTGGTACATCCAATGCATCGGAAAAAGCTACGTTTGGCGATTGAAGAGCAACGTAGGCCAGAAATGGTACGCTATCCCATGATAACGCAGCTTGGACACACTTGGGTCGCTTCGGAATGGTTGCCCGATATTGGCCTGCCACAATATGCTGACGCTTTCTTGCACTCACTTGTCGATGCCCGAATGCTGGATACGTTGTCAAAGAAGGAGCTTGAGAAGTTTTTAGGTGTGACGAGAAAATTCCATCAAGCGAGTATTGTGCATGGTAAGTAATTAAGATAAGATGAAAAAAAATTAGATAAGACATAAATAAATTCAACTATATAAATTAATTATTATGAAAACGAATAAAATTAAATTTAAAAATATGAAATAAAACTAAACTAAACTAATTAAATAGAAATAAATTAAATAAAATAGAAACACAAAATAATGTAAATTAAAATAAAACAAGACTAATAATTAATTAAAAATAATAATAAAAATAATAAAAAAATTCAGAATAAAATGAAATAAATTAAAGAAAAATAAATTAATTTGAAACAAAATAAAAAAAAAAAATGAAAAATAAAAAAAAAAATGTATTCTTAATAATTATGATTTCATCTTTTTGTCTCCTCAGGAATTCATGTGCTTCGTATCGTCAAATATGATCGCCAAACGCTGGCTATGCGACGTGTACAATCAGAAAATGTCGACACAGATCCGATAGTGTGGACTAATCAACGTTTCATACGCTGGGCCAGATCAATTGATTTAGGAGAATATGCTGACAATTTGAAAGGTAAGTCTTAAACTTATATTGTGTTTCCCAACGGGAAGAAAAATTGTCTTAACTTTACATATCTTATCTATATGAAGTATTAAACTAATAGTATTGCCCTATATATTCCCACCTTAAGTCTGCTCTTGATTTAATAATATACACTTTTTTTTGGCTCTTTGCGCAGACAGCGGTGTGCATGGTGGCCTTGTCGTATTGGAACCATCGTTTTCTGGTGACACCATGGCTACGGCATTGGGTATACCACCATCGAAGAATATCATCAGACGTCATCTCACAACGGAATTCGATGCGCTCATTTTGCCAGCAAGGTAAGAATTTTTTTTTAATAAAAAAATTCATTTCATCACTGCTGTTAGATATTATTATGTACCATCATCATCACCATGTTTATTCCTAACTCTGTGTGTATGTAGTGCAAGTGTGTATTAAGTATGTGTTGAATTTATTTTATTAAATGTCTATGCTGCTAGTATGTAGACATGCTAGAAGTAAGTTTAATTTAACTAAACACAAAAAATATTTATATGTACACAATGCCTGCGTTTAGGTTGTGATTTGAATATGATTTCGGATTTCTTCAAGTTTTTTTAAGTTATAATATTGGTTTTTTTATGTTTTATATTTTTATTGTTTTTTTTCTTTTTACTTTAGCTAACATGCACTTAAATAATCATAATAATCATAAAATTAGTTTCATTTTTATATAGACAATATTTTCACCACTCGTTAGCGCTTATATATCATAATTATCATATCATAAATATAAATATATCGTATTGTATAAAAAGTGCTTCTTCAGTATTGAGTAATTTTTGTAATTTTGTTTTATATTATTCTACTTCATTTTATTTAATTTAACTTTATTTAATATATATTAGTTTTTATTAACTTTCTTATATTTTATTATTTTTAATTTAAATTCAAAAAATTTAATTTAAGTCATTTTATTTAATTTGATTTAATTTTATTTCATTTCATTTAATTTTTTTCTCTATTGTTATAATACAATATATTTCATTTAATTTTATTTTGTTTTATTTTCTGATATTTTGTTTTTTCTTTTATTTTATGAAAGTTTACTTTATTTTTTTGTGTTAATTTAGTTTATTTATTTTATTATTTTATTTTGTTCATTTTATTTTATTTCATTTCAATTCAATTTATTTGATGTTATTTTATTTTATTTCATAATATATAATTTTATTTTATGTAATTTTATTATTATATTATATAATATTTTAATTCATTTATTTTATTTTATTTCGTTCATATTTTTATTTTATTTTAATAAATTTTCTTATATTTTGTTATCTTTTTTTATTCTCTTGTATTTTATTTTAAATTATTTTCTTTTATGTTCTTTTATTTTATGTTATTTTACTTTATTTTATTTTAATATATTTTATTCTAGTTTATTTTGTTTTATTTTTTCTTATTTTATATATATTTTATATACATACATTTTATTTTATTTTTATTATTTGGATCGACCAATACAGCTATCAAAGCGTAAATCTGAAATCTGTGCTTTTTTTATTTGTTAAATTCATGGCATACTATTACTGAATCAGCAAATATGTGATTTGTTTAATTTATGTATCAAAGTACATTTTTTATGGTATATAATTTTATTTTTGCTTATTTTAGTATACCATTTTTTGTTTAATTTTATATTATTTATAAATTAATACAATTATTTATTTTATATTATTGTTGTTTTTCCATTAGATTTGTTTTTACTTTTTCTTTATAACATATATTTATGTATTATTTCTGCAAATGGCTTTACTAAAAATACTAAATGGTTTTAACTTGGCAATTAAAATAGGTATACAGTGAATATTTTAGCTGATCCTGTTCATGCTGTCAATTTCATGTGGTTCATCACCCTTCATTTGTACACACACAAACACATAGCTACATATACGTAAGAAATGTAAATGCTAAAGTCATAAAGTTTTAACTAAATGAAAATTTTATTAAAATGTGCCACCACGACTGAAAAAAAAAATAAAAAACTTATTTGAAATGACTGCAAAACTGTCAATGTTCTTCCAAAAAAAAACGTCGAGATATTATGTGAGACTTTATTTTAAATATTTTCATTTAATTTTGTTCTGGACATTAGTACACTCATAATATTATTATAAATATTTCTAACCCACAAAAGTCATGAAGTCATTAAGCAATTTTTTAAAGCATATCTCTCGGCGCAACTCATATTGGGTAAAATACAATTTCATTTAACAAACCACAAACAACAAACATATTATCGCTCTCGCTTTTCCATTTCATTTAGCGTGTTCATAGAAATAAATAAATTCATATACATCAACCTTCTCTTCACCCCTCACCCACTACATGCAAGCATCTATCGCTTGCCTAACTGTGTATGCTAGTAATATTCGTTCATTCATTCGTTCGCTTTCCATTTATTTGCTGCATTCGCATTCGCTTCGTATTCGCATAGAAATTCATTTGCATAATTCTCTGCCTCACTCATAATTAGTTTTTTCTCACACACTTCATAAACGAAATGTTTCATTGCGTTTAAAATAAAACTTCAGTAGCAAATTTATTAAAAAAAAAAAAACATAAAAAAAAACTTTAAATATACATAAATGTGTTCTCTTTGTATGCGTTTACATATGTACTAAGTATGTACCAAATATGCTCTTGCTCAACTGTGTCTTATATACTACTCGTAGCTCATCATTATCTTCATGTGTTTGTGAAAATAAGAAAAACAAATCGAAAATTCTTTGTAATAATATTGCATACATTTAGCAGGAGTAAAAATAGAAAATTAAAAAAATAAGTAAATGAAATCAAACTAACCATATACCTTTTCGTCGTTTCTTCCATCTTTTTTTCCTTTGCAAATATATTCTACTCACAAACATGCATACCTCAACCAAAAAAAAAATAAAAAAATACATTATAATAATAATAATAAAAAATACAAAAACTGTTTTAAAACTTGAAAAAATATGAAACATTCCGCAGATATCTTGTTTACTGTCAAATGGAAGAATTTCAAATGGATAATACAAGACAACTAATATTAAATCAAAAGCAACTAGGCAGATAAATCGCTGTTAAGTTATTTAATCCATTGCTTTAAGTACACACATACTTACATACATAAATATTAGTATCATCATACATACTACTATGTGCGAGTATATGCTGATCGATGTTTGTTCTATTATATTACATAATTACTACTAATTACTTACGTACATCTGACTATGTGTGTTTGTGTGTCTGTGTGTGTGTGTGTGTGATGAAATGTTATATGAAATGTAGGGGTAAACAAAATCTGTGGAAGCCATTGAGCGATACAATAATTAATGTGTAATTCTTGAAAAGGAAATTTAAAATGAAGATATTTACATATATTACATATATAAATGTTGATATTTGTATGTAAATGTTTAACATGAAAAAAGTGTTAAGTTGGAGTTGGCTTTGAAATTATCATCTTATAAGTAATTAGTAACACTGTTGTCTACGAAACTTTGAACAGAGCAATTGAAAAACAATCTGATTCAGTTTATAAAAAAAAATTGTTTAAATGTGATAAAAAATATAAAGAATTTGAAGAAGACTCTCAAAGAGCAAACGACCTAAATATGGATATTTCTACTTTGCTTTAAAAGAAAGAGAGAAACCGAGAGAAACTTAGTTGCACCGCACCACACTCGACTCTCCTGAAAAATTATCTTCGCGAAATACTTCATCGTAATAGAGGGTGCCCAACATTCTTCAACAAAAGTCATGGCAAGATTAAAGAACTTATAGTGTTAGTGTCAGTGAAAATCTACGGAAGTGATATATTAGTATCTAGAAACTTCTGGAATAGTACCTTTTCTCAGTTGATATATACATTAAAATAACAATAAATTGGTTCCCCCTTATAGCAACCCGAAGAAGTAGTCCTCGGTTCATTACGTAAGGTTTTAAGAAAATTTATACGCATGTGTCTTTCGGGAAATTTTTCTCGCTGGTTTTGTGTAGCATATCTTGTTGAAACCATATTTTACCAAAGTCGTGTTGCAGGCAAAATAAGTTGCTTCGAATTGACAGTAGCAGTCTCACCGTTATCGTTTTGAAACAAATGTATCCTCCGAGTTAGAAATATGCCTCGCCGTTGAAGAAAAGTTTTAAAAAGAGCCGTGCCGACTGGAAGTCCCATCATTTGAGGACGCTGAACTTTCGGCTACACTTTCATTTGAGGTGGAGCGAGGAAAATGATGATGCGCAGACTTTACAATATCTGTAACCGATCCAGTCTGTACAAAGTTCAGTAAAATTGTACCATTTACTTGAGCAGTCGGACTTTTAAATCACCATTTTTGTAGTAGACATTAAGATTTTTAACGCTTTGTGCGATTTGTCAAGGGATTCATTTTCATAAATGCCTGACTTTTGGCTAAAACGAAAAAATTTTTGGTTTGACAATTCAGTCTGACAGATATCAAAACGCAACCCTGTACTTTTGAAATGATGAATTGGATAACCCTTACCGTACATATTTATTTTCGTCATTATACTGTATGATCTAGTAAATGTCTTCAGAAGTTCTTCTTCAGACACATTCCGTTAGCCATGCGGAGGGCTTTTCCAGAAGGACAAGAAGTTTATTAAAATAGCCCTACTGGAAAACATACGATCATTGATTCTATAAGAATGCTCTTTGTAATTCAATGAAGGTTCATAGAACTGCACAGACACCTCCGTCTAGCGTGTAGGATATTGCTGCATTATAATATTTATATATATATCAAAGTAACAGTCATTTCTCAACACCAATAGGAACTAACCTTATGGTTTGAAAATTATTAAGCGAAAATAATAAAAACTACCGAAGAACTATTATTATTATTACAACTGACATTTGATGTACAACAGTGTTATGTAAAAAATAATTAAAATATTCTTTACAAAAATCGAAATGCAGTGTGATTAAGATTGAGAATAAAAATTATACTAAAAAAAGGATTTGCCAAAAATAAATTAACTATTTGGTAGTATAGAAAATTATTGCTATTTATTAAGTAATTTATAAGTAAAATTTGTTTAAAACAATAGTTAATACTCAATATTAGCTTGTTGGTGGGAAAGCGATAACACAAAATGTGCTTATTTATACGCATACGTATATTTATAAGGTATTTAAAGCATACAAACTTTTTTCAATTTAAGATTTTTTACCAACAAATTTTAAAAACTTTTTTTTACCTTAAATATTTATAACGAGCGCACAAAAATAATAGAACAAAGTGCTTAAGCATACCTATTTTAT